TTAAAAAAATATTAAACTATGAAGTAACATCACTTTCACAGAAAATCAAGAATCTGATAATAATAACAATATATCCATACAAAAAGGACAGAGAACAACAGACTATTTGAAATGAACAAGAGAAGTTTATCATGATCATGACCTTTGCACTTGGATGTGGAATTTGCAGCCGGGCATGTTCTGCACCTCTGCAGTTACTAAACATTTGATGCCTAGGTTTGCAAGTGCCCCACGGATTAGTCCACATGTAAACGCAACATACTGTGAATTAGAGAACAATGTAGATTAGAGTTGGTGTGATAACTTATCACTCATCGGAAAGTATATCATAATATCATCTTAACACGAAGACAAGGAATACTATTAACCCTTTTGCAAATGTTTATAACAGAGATAAAAGGTGTGCTTGGTTGCCAAAGGATACATGCATTGTTTGCCTGTAAATATAAATTTCTAGGTACTCTACCTTGGGAGCAGATTCTAGATATTGTCGTCCAGAAGATAATTTAGAGAGGAAGCGAAATGCACAATCATGTAGAACGTATACACCCTGATGGTTGGTTCGTAAATTGTCAATTTGCTTCTTGTAGATAGTAGACCAAAGATCAGTGCAAATGAATTTAACTGTGTCAAGCTCGTCATTAAAACGTGGGCGTTCCTTGGTCAGCCTGAAAATAAGTCAGTCATATTTTAGATGTAAATAATAACAAATTGTTTTCTTCGCTTAATTGGATTAACTAAGACACCTTTCTATTATTCTGTAACCAGATGAAAAACCCATATATTCCAGAGCGGACAAGTCATCTTTCTGCAAGAAAATAAAACAGCAAAAATAAGGAACTATTGTAAAAGGAATGCATTTAACCTCATTTACTGCTCACTATCTACAATGACAAAAAATAATATCAAATTTAAAACTGTCTCGTTTACAAGGGTAGATTACCTTGTTTTCCTTCGCAGATTTTTCAGTAACATATCCAACTAACTCTGAGTGAAGAAATTCGTACAGAGCTTCGTCTGCCATCTCGCAAACACTCGCAAATGTCAAATGTCTGCAATACAACAATATGAAACATCAATAAAAACAAAAAGTTGCAGGTCAGGTACAGAAACTTTTCGAAGACCCATTGTGTATCTCATAAAACAAAAACACAAGACTGATCGAACCATCCCACTTCATGTTAATCCCGCTATAATTTAAATAAATGAGAAAATCTAGTGCGATCCCGATTTTTAAACTCCCAAACCACCCCAATGTAAATCCTTTCTGTGAGAACACGTTGGTCATCCTGACTTTAAAACCGCACCGCTCAAGTTCAAGTTGATTTGGAAATGTGTGTAAATTGTGTAAATGTAGCTCTTAACTTGTTGATTGACTTTTATTGATGTAACGTCCAACAGCGATGCACCCTCCTTTCTTATGTGGCATGCATTCATGGTACAACAACACGGTTTTATGTGTTTTATGTTTTTCAGCGGATCTGCGTTCTGCGAAGAGGAGGGGGAGGAGAGGAGAAGGATTGGAGCGCGCGGGCGCGGGATTCGCAGCAACCAACCGTTACCTGCTCAATACTCAAAATGGTGGAAGGCTGATGCTCTCTCTGTGAGTTCCTTCAAAGTTAACATTAAGAAATAGTGTTTTATAAATGAACTCCATATATTATTTATGTGTCTGCATTGCTTACGCTGTTTGAAGTTTTAACTGCAATTGTTGTGTTTCAGTCCGTATACATTCTCATCATAGGTGTTCTTTTTACAGTTATTTCCTGAAGACGGCCGGCGTATAGGCTCAGCTTCTTTCTCTATTATTTCGGATAATACGTAAGTACTGATTAGTTTTTTTCTCGTTGCTCTTTCTAACTTTTTCTTGCGTTCAACTAAGCTTCATAATAGTTCACACAGAATTTATTGCTTTGAATTGTGAGAATGACATTCGGCAGGCGGACGTACACTATTCATGTAATATATGATATTGTTTGATCTCTCAAGATTTCCACTTATTTTCGTGACTGGTTATTAATGCTAAACATTCTGAAGAACAGTAAATTTATGCTTGTGTCTAGTCGTCCTCGGACTTTATTCCCACATTTTGTAAGTCAATCAATATGTGCATTGATGTTGTTCTTCAAGGGCCTATGTGAACCTAAAATAAATTCACTGTTTTTGTTTAAATATTTCTTCATGTGTTACTGATTTTGGTTTTTTAAATTAAACTTTCAATAAATTTATTTTTACACTATTTTTTGTAATTTACAGGAATCTTTATCAACAATGAGTGACGATGATTACATGGCTAATGGGGGTGGAGGTGGACACCCTAAAAAGAAACTTACAGTTGAGAAAATCTACCAGAAGAAGTCCCAGTTGGAACATATCCTTCTACGTCCTGACACATACATTGGTAAGCTAAATTTTACTAATCAGCTTACTCCTATTCATGTCCTTGGTTTACTGTGTTAATAATACTTGTTTTTGTAGGTTCTGTTGAGCCGGTCACAGAAAATATGTGGGTGTATGATCGGTTAAGTGAAGGCATGGTTCAAAAAGATATTACATATGTACCTGGTCTGTACAAAATATTTGATGAAATCTTAGTGAATGCTGCAGACAATAAGCAAAGAGACAAGAAAATGGATTGCATTAAAATCACGATAGATCCGTAAGTGTTAACATTTTCACTTTTGGAAGTTAAAAAATACTACTGTCATTTTAAATAAGTAATTATTTCAATTGAATTGCAGCGAACAAAATCTAATATCTGTTTGGAACAATGGTCAAGGTATACCAGTCGTTGAACATAAGGAAGAGAAAATGTATGTTCCTACTATGATTTTCGGTCATTTGCTCACCTCCTCTAATTATGATGATGAGGAGAAAAAAGTCACTGGTGGTCGTAATGGTTATGGCGCCAAACTTTGCAACATTTTCAGTACCAAGTTTGTGGTAGAAACATCATCTAAAGAGTATGGAATGCATCTCAAACAGGTTAGTATTTTGCCAATAAAAGTAGCTTAAATATTGTTGCATTCAATTTTTGTTTTTTAGTTATCTTTCAGTTGCCAAGTAGTAAATGGAACAATGTACATTTTTTCTTTTTAGACATGGGGTAACAATATGGCCAAGGCTGGAGAGCCTAAATTGACAAAAGCTACTGGTGAAGACTTTACCAAAATCACTTTCAGTCCTGATCTTACGAAATTTAAAATGGACTCCTTGAGTGCAGGCATTGTTCAGCTAATGGAAAGGAGGGCTTTTGATGTTGCTGCTTCTTCCAGAGGTGTGAAAGTCTATCTCAACGGAGAAAGATTAAAGGTATGATCTTGAGACATGGTCCAATTTTATGCATTCCAATCAAGTGCCCTGGTTTAATCATTCCTTATTTCTCCAGATTAATAACTTCAAACAATATTGTGAATTGTACTTGAAAGGGAAGGAAGATGATGTTGGAAACCCTGTGAAAATTATTTATGAAAATGTGAATGAACGGTGGGAGGTAGCAGTTGCAATATCTGACAAGGGCTTCCAACAAGTCTCTTTTGTGAACAGCATAGCTACAACAAAGGTACTGAACTTGTTCCTCTATAGTCAAGGTTCTTATTCCAATAAACTTTAATTTCTGATATTTGTTGTTTTAGGGTGGTCGCCATGTGGATCATGTTGCTGATAGCATAGTGAAGAACATCACAGAAGCAATTAAAAAGAGAAACAAAGGTGGAATAACAATCAAGCCACATCAAATCAAGAACCATATGTTCATATTTATCAATTGCTTGGTAGTCAATCCAACGTTTGACTCACAAACCAAGGAAAACATGACCTTGCAAGTGAAAAGCTTTGGCTCAAAATGTGAAATGAGTCCAGCATTCTACACTCAAATTTCCAAAAGTGGACTTGTAGATGCTGTTTTAACATGGGCTAAATTCAAACAGCAGACTGAGCTCGCGAAGAAGGGGGGAAAGAAATCATCCCGATTGAAGGGTGTTTCCAAGCTAGAAGATGCCAATGATGCTGGAACTAAGAATTCTATTGAATGCACTCTCATTTTGACTGAGGGAGATTCAGCTAAAACCTTAGCTGTTTCAGGACTTGGTGTTGTCGGTAGAGATAGGTATGGAGTGTTCCCACTTCGTGGTAAGCTATTGAATGTCAGAGAAGCTTCCCACAAACAGATAATGGATAATGCGGAAATTAATGCTTTGATCAAGATCATAGGCCTGCAACATAAGAAAAAGTATGAGAATGTAGATGATCTAAAAACTCTTCGATATGGCAAGCTCATGATCATGACTGATCAGGACCAGGATGGTTCCCATATAAAAGGCTTATTAATTAACTTCATTCACTATTTCTGGCCTTCTTTGCTGAGGTTGCCATTTCTGGAAGAATTCATCACTCCCATTGTTAAAGCTAGAAAGGGCACATCAGTATTATCATTTTTCTCTCTTCCTGAATTTGAAGAATGGAAAAAGGAAACAAACAATTGGCATACATGGCGTATAAAGTACTACAAAGGTATTTTATGTTTCAGTTTGTCTCAATCTAATGTCTTATTTTTCTCATTGAAAGTATTTCATGGCAACCATCATTAACCTTTTTCTAGGTTTGGGTACATCTGATTCCAATGAGGCTAAAGAATACTTTTCTGATATGGAACGCCATAGGATTAAATTTAACTACAAAGGTACTGAAGATGATAGCAACATATGCATGGTAAGTTTCTAGTGTTGAAAGGTAAACTTCAAATTTTGTGTGCAACATCACAGAAACATGGAAATGGTATTTCTTTGCTCAGGCTTTTGCCAAGAAAGAGGTGGAGAAGAGAAAGGAGTGGCTCACAAATTGGATGGAATCTTCTAAGAGACGTCAAGAGCTTGGTCTTCCTGAAGAGTACCTTTATGGAAAAACTACCAAAGCCGTTAACTTTTCTGAATTTGTAAACAAAGAGTTGGTTCTTTTTTCCAACATGGACAATGAACGTTCTATCCCTAGCCTTGTTGATGGCTTCAAACCTGGCCAAAGGAAGGTTTGTAAACTGGTTATTGTGTCTTTCATGTTTGTGCTTTTCTAGTATAATTTCTAGAATAATTTTCTCTATTTAGGTAATTTATACTTGTTTAAAAAGGAATGACAAGAAAGAAGTAAAAGTGGCTCAGTTAGCTGGTTCAGTAGCAGAACATTCAGCTTACCACCATGGTGAAGTCTCACTCATGGGAACGATTGTCAACTTAGCTCAAAATTATATTGGTAGCAACAATATTAATCTTCTTATGCCCAATGGTCAGTTTGGTACACGTCTCACTGGAGGTAAAGACTCTGCCAGTGCTCGTTACATCTTCACCATGCTTCAGTAAGTCTTTTAATATACATCCTGGTAGAACCACAAAGTTATCCAACTCTTCATTCGTATCTTAACTTTCTTTGCAGTAAACTATCAAAAGCTATTTATCATCCTGCGGACACACCTCTCCTCAAGAACTTGTTTGATGACAATCAAAAAATTGAACCACAATGGTACTGTCCAATTATCCCAATGGTTCTTGTCAACGGAGCTGATGGAATTGGTACTGGATGGATGACAAAAGTCCCAAACCATAATCCCCGTGAAATAATTCAGAATATTAAGCGCATGATTCATGGAGATGAACCTGTTCCCATGGTATATTTTCAATCTGGTTTGCTTCTACACTGCAAATAGCTCTTTTTTTCCTTTTTTAAATTTTATTCATATTTGTTTTATATGTATTTTTGCCTTATAGAAACCCTGGTACAAAAATTTTAAAGGAATTATTCAAAACTTAGGAGACTGTAGGTATGTCTTCTATGGAGAAGTAGCTGTGCTTGATGAAGAAAAGGTAGAAATCACAGAGCTCCCTGTCCATACTTGGACAACACCTTACAAAGAATCTGTGCTGGAGCCTATGCTTAATCCCCCAGGAGAAAAGGCTACTCCATTCATCACGTAAGTTGCTTTTCACCACTTTCTTCTATTATTGTACAGTTATTTTGTGGTATATTCTTGGCTTGCATTTGAAATGATTTGTTTGTATTTTTTGTGTGTTTGCTTTGTGACCAGAGATTATAAAGACTATTGCACCGATACCACTGTCCGCTTTGTGGTATCACTTCCAAAGGCAAACCTTGAAAAAGCTGAAAGGGATGGGCTACACAAAACTTTCAAGCTGCAGACAACAATGAGCACTTCATCTATGTGTCTGTTTGATGACATGAATTGTCTGCGTCGTTTTGAGTCAGTTGTACAGATATTGAAAGAGCACTACAGAGTACGTTTTGACATGTACAAGAAACGTAAGGCATACATGGAAGGTTTCCTAGAGGCAGAAGGCAGGAAATTGAGCAACCAAGCTAGGTTTGTCATTTCCTCCTTGATTTTGTATTAGAATTCCTCTGACAATAATTTGATTTGACTGCAGTGCTAATTACTCTCTTTGCACTTCTTAACATAGGTTCATTTTGGAGAAATGTACTAATAAAATAGTCATTGAAAACAAGAAAAAGGTGGAAATGATCAGGGAAATTAAAGCCCGTGGGTATGATCCAGACCCAGAACGAGTCTGGAAGAAGAAGCAAGATGCAATGGCCCTTGTTGTAAGTCCACCATTGTACTTACATGTTTGTTAAAAAATATCAAGCGCCTAACATATAGTATTAAGTTTTGAAAATATTGACCTATTGTGTTGAAAAGTACTTGTCATTCCCCTGTTCTTTATTTTTAGTATCTTGAATATTGATGTTTGATACTTCTTTTCAGGAGGAAGATGGAGCTGATGCTAACACAGCTGATGAGACTCCTGCTGATGATGATGATTCTGCGATGTACACATACTTGTTAGGTATGTCTCTGTGGTCTCTCACCCACGAAAAGAAAGAGGAGCTAATAAGAAAGAGGGATGAGAAACTTCAGGAACTCAAGGACTTGCAGAAAAAGAGTCCTTCAGATTTGTGGGAAGCAGATCTTGATAACCTTTTGAAACTAGTGAGTACATCTGTTGTTATTTTTCTTTGGCAGGTGTGGTACCATTCTACATTTAAATTAAATTTCATTTTACAGATGGATGAGTGTGAGGAAGAAGAAAAGGAGGCTAGCGAAGTCAAGATTGTGCCTAAGAAGCCAAAGGGTGCTGGTGGCGGTCGTGCTAAAAAGGCTCCTCAGGTTACTACTCAGGACTGCCTTCCGGACCCCTATGGTCGTCGTGTTGTGCCTGAATTAGATGATGAAATGAAAAAGAAAGTCGAGAAGCTGGATGCTGCAAAATCAAGACCACCTGGCACAAAAGGAAGAGTTAGTTAACTTTTGTCTATTCTTGTTTATAGTATAATCTTTGTAGGTGTATAATCTTTTTACAAATATTTCTGAATTATTTTATGTTTAGAAACGGAAGAGTGATGGAGGAGCAGCTGATGAGAAGGATGACATAGATCTTCTCATTCAAGGCGCTTCTAAATCTTTAAAAGATCGCATCGGTACATCACCAGATGCAATTGAAAAGAAAGCTAAAGGTTGGATATCATCTGCTTTTTTTGCTCTAAATTATTACTCTAAACTGATTGTTTAAGTATTGTAATGTCTTTTGGTCTCAGGCACTCTGAAGCAGTCTAAGCTCAACTTTAAGAAGACCTCTCCGAAAAAGAAAACTAAGGAATGGGATTCTAATGAATCTGGGAGTGACGATGTGCTCTTTGGAGATTCCCCTTCTCCTGTGAGAGACAGAGGGCCAAAACGCACTGGTCAGTTGTTTCCTCCCTCATGTTTTTATTCTTTACTTTTAAAATCAGTTTTGTATTCTTTAGACTGCTATCTATCTGTTTTTCAGCTGCAAGCAAAGCTAATTTTAAACATTTGCTGGCTAGTGATGAATCAGGCTCAGATGATGATGACAGGCCTGCTTTGAGGGACACTAATGGTGATGCTGAGTAAGTCCATGCTCTATAGCACTTTAAGCCCAGTGAAATCTTTCAGTTTTTCTGTAAAATTTATATTTATCTGTTCCCTTACTTTATTTTGATCAACTAGAAAAATTGTGGTTAGTGATACTGACAGTGAATTTGAGCAGACAAATCCTCCCAAAAAAGCAGCTGTCAAACCTAAACCTAAACCAAAACCAGCTGCTTCATCAGAATCGGAGGAAGAGGATGTGTTTGCTGAAAAGCCGAAACCTATTAAGGCAGCTCCTTCAAGACGTAAGTTACCACATGCTGTTGATGATTCCAAATTTGTTCTGCTGTATCAAACTTTGAAATTATGTACCTAACATACTAACATACTAAATACTTGCTTTATAATTTTTACTGATTTTTTAAAATGATTTAGCATCATCGGATCAAATGTTTGATAGCCTTATAAAAGGCAGTACAGATTCTCAAGAAGACGAAATCATAAGTAGTAAAGGTGCTTCTAGCAAATCCAAGGCTTTGGAATCAACATCAGATTCTGAAGAACCAAAGAAAAAGAAAGGTGTGTTAGTATTTTCATTGGTATTTATCTATCTAATTCATTGTCTCTTTCTTCTTTGGGACACTCTCAGTTTGTCTTTCATCAAACTGATACAAATACATTTTTTTTCTTAGAAATTTTCTAAATAGCCAGCATGATTTGTATTTAGTTGTGTAACCGTTGGTTTTTGTATAGTCATGACGGAACCATTTTTGGCAAAACCATAACATTATTCTCATGTTTCAAATAGCACCAGCCAAGAAACGGACACTGTGGACGTCTGAGGACAAACCTGAGAAGAAAAAGGCACCGCCCAAAAAGAAGCCTAAGAAAGTATCAGACTCAGAGGATGACATCTTTGAGATTGGAGGAAATGTATGTACTAAAGTTCTGTCTCAAGTGCTTTATGTACTGAATTTAGATTCATGCTCATGCTTTAACTTTTAAAAAATTCATCTTTCAGAAAAACAAGAAAAAGGCTGATTCAGACAGCGAGTTTGAAATGTCTGAACAGAAAGCCAGTTCAAAAGCTACTACTGGACGGTCTAGGAAACCAGTTTCTTACAATTTTGGAGAGAGTGATGAAAGTGATTAGTTTTTGTATGGCTTCCACTCTACCACTTGAATCATGTATTTGATGCTATTGTTATTATTTCGTGGTACCTGTTTTAACATATTTCTGTAGGTTGTGACTTTCCTTTACAATGTGTAAATGTTTGGAAAATATTTTAGTGAATCCATAAGATAGTATTGTAGGACTGGATCAATTCACTTCTATAAGTAAGGCTTCTGGTTATTTTTGGTTAATTTCATAAGCTGGAAAAAATTACAATGAGACATCAAGATTTGTTGTTTTGTGGTCAAGAATAAGTACTTAAGGCCTGTCTTGATATAAACTTGTGTTTTCTGCAGGCTTAGTAAAATTTATTTATTGCTGTATTTTATTGATGTATGATTTTGTGACATTAGCATTCCAGTAACATTTTGATTGATACACATTTGTATGTACATATTATTTCCATAATTTATGAACTATCCATCACTCTCATTGTTGAGCTGCGTCCAGACAAGAGGGTGGCTTGGGCTGCTTGGGTCGCTGTGGGGTCTCTGAGTCTGCGCAGAGAACCAAAACGCGGCCTCTGCGCCGGCTCAAAGACCCAAGCGACCCTCTTGTCTGGACACAGCTTTGGTCATTTCTTTTTCCTTAGATTGTCTACTGCATTTTCACATTTTTAACTGGAAAGCTGATCAAAAAAATGCATTCTTTTATTGCCCGATTTCTTTATTGTATAAACAGTTACTGTCAGTTAATTTGTATGTCTTTGAAATTATTGTAAGTAAAACATGTAATAAAGAAAAAATTATAAATGTTGATTTATAATTTTTTCTTTAAGGTATGGCCTATCGTTTTAGTTTTAAAGTTTTAAACTGCAATTGCAGTTACCTTTTAACAATCTAAACAACCAATAAACAATAAAAATCCCTTGAACTTTTCTTTATTTATTTCAAAATTATCAAAATGTCCATTGCGGATGAGAGCGAGCAGGTCGGGGGAGGTTACGGGAATGCGAAGTACCTTGAGAAACCTTGAGAAAGGAGAAAGCGACAACTTCAAACTCTTCAAATTACTTCATAGGAGTGCTTCAATATTTCCCGCCTGCTGCTGCATCTGCATGCAACTCCTCTATTGATTATTCGCAGTACGGGGGGGGGGGGGGGACGAGAGAGCTGCGGTACGCGGCCCGGGCGGCGCGGCGACAGCACGAGTGTTTACCTTGGTTAACTGACATAAGTTAATTGACATACATTGACGTTATTTATTTTTATTACTGCTTCCCACCTATCGCCACCTATTGTCATTCGTTTTTGTCGTAATGAGCTACGAATATCAGAAACTGCAGCATCGTGCGGAAGTTGCGGTTAGTAATTTTACTTGCCACATGGACATTGATCGTCATTCTTTCGTCAGCTATATTTGGGATGTCCTCAGGAATGTCGTTTTATGTAAATGTAAAAAAAAATATCTAATTTTATCTATAAATTTTGTTGTAGTTCAATTTCATTTCTTTGTATTGTGCCGAATCTAAACCCTAACTGTAGTGTTGTAGTGCAAAAACAACATTATCTGAGAACGTCCCTTTCACCTACTGTCCAAAATTTGTCTCTCTGCGGTACTGTTGAAGATCACTTTCATCAGATTAATTTGATTTAATCCTTTATTTTTTGTTCTGTGCCTTCAATATATTTCAGTTATGTTTAATATGCCTTGCTGTGATCATTTCAGGAACATGAAATAAAATTAATCGAAGAAAAATTGAAGCAACTCCGTAGTGAGGCTTCTAAAAACATTAATGATGTTGATTTGCCCTCTCATACGGCTGTGGCAGGCTTGCCAGATGATCTAGCTCAGCTTATCACAGAAAATATCAAACTGAAGATGCGATCTGCTGTTTTGAAAAGGGTGTGAATCCAAATCACTATTTTTGAATAGTAATCAATCTATGCACATTAAAACATTTTTACAATATTTTATTGACTTTTGGCTGTTCTCACAGGCAATAGAAGAAGAGGAGAAATCAGGGAAACGTCAGCCAGGAGCCACTTCTAAAGCTGAAATGAAGGAGCCAGTTGTAGGATCCAGCATTTTAGGAGCTCTTCAAAAATATTTTGAAGTTGCTATTCAGAGAGCATATCCTGATTTGTCAGATGCTCCTGTTGTAGTCACAGTCTCTGGTAACTCCAAATTTGGAGATTATCAATGCAACTCAGCGATGCCGATTGCTCAATTGCTCAAGAACAAAGGTAATCTTCAAGATATAGCTGAATATATTTCTGAATATTTAATTGACTTTTCATTTCACATTTCTTAAT